GGACTTTTACAGCATGACTCATAAGGCTTATCAGACGGAACTCATTGCAGTGTTGTGGGTTTGGCTTTTTTGGTAGTGGGATGAATATTGACTCCAGCCAATCTTGAGGTATTTTACCTGTATCATAAATGCGATTGAATAAAAGGACAAATAATTCGATATTTTCTTCGCTGATTAATTTGAGCGTTTCTGGGTATATTCCGTCTGGACATGGGCTTTTATTTGTTTTGAGATGATTAATTGCATTTATGATTTCAGATTTCAGAATTGTTGGCCCTTCGTTGTTATTTTCCAATCTTGGTTCTTCTCGTATGTCGTGAAAAAGAATTTTAATATAGTTTTCCCATTCTTTCAGTTTATCTTCCGTTGATTCTAGCAGTTTGTCATCCGTGTTCAGCATGGTGTGAAAGGTCGTTCTCTTGGTAGTCGATGTAAACTCTTTTACCTTTTTATGTAAATTAAAAAAATCGTGCCTTTGTTGCAGTTCTTCTATTTCTACGCATTTTGTTTCCAGCCATTTCTCTTTTGCTTCGGTTATTTTTTTTTTCGAATTATTCTATTTAGTCTTTTGTATTCTACGTCCTTGTCATTTTTTCCTTTAGATTCTCTTCGTTTGTTCATTAATTGTAAAATCTCTTCTGTCATCCATTCCTGTTTGTTATTTCTAGGTGTTACTTTTAGATGTTTTTCCGTTACATTGTTAATTTGTTCTTTAATAGTTTTCCACAGAACGTTTATGTCATCGTACTCTCTAATTCTATTGTGGTCAATATTTCCTAAATTTTTGTTTAATTCTTTATTTACTGTCTTATGTATGGTGTCGTTTTTCAATATTTGGATGTCTAATAGTTGGTGTTGAGGTTTTTGTTTCTTGATTAGTTTCCATCTTGCGCGAACTTTTGCAACAACAGGATTATGATCGGAATTGATGTCAGTTCCAGGATATGTTTTTGCACTGATGATTGCATTGTGATATCTTTTGTTGACCAATATGTAATCTATTTGGTATGAATGTATAAGTGTAACTAAATTTAATTTTGTTTTATTTTCAAACTCATTTTTTATCTATAAAAATATTTTCTAAATATGTAACATTTTCAGTCCTTCGACACAACTTTATTTTTAGTGTAGTAATTTCGTTGGTAAAACACTTTTGTGGTCAAATAAATTAAAACTTGATTTTTTTAACCTATTTGTACGTCAATTGTTATAAACATACAAACAAAAAAAATTTTCAGTCATCAAATCTCGTGTTTGAAAATAATGGTTCGATAACGAACCATTGGCGGAAGTCGACTTCGAAAATCTATTTGTGTTGTAGACAATAAATATGTCGATTTGGAAAAATAACCCTAAAACAGTCTTTTTCAACCCTAAAAAGGCCTAACTTTATTGGAATTAGAAGCCGAATTGGAGAATCTCAGTGATATTGATGATGGGGTCGCAGAAATAGTTATAATACCTCCGGACTGTGACGAATTGACAGATGAAGAAATGATTGATAAGGATGTTATAAAAGGTAACCTATTCACTATTTTTTAGTTTCATATAATCTATTACGTGACTTTGTAGGTGACAATGAGATTCGAGAGATTGCCGGTACATTTGAGATTTCTGCTAAAGATACCGTCTTTCTGGAACCTTCCACAAGTAAAGTTGAAGTTGCCGGCTTTGTAGAGATTCCTACTACGGAGTCGTTCGATATCGAATCAACAAGTAAATCGTATAAAAAACGTAAAGTATGTAGAGTGACAACTCCAAAATGGTTTACAAAAATTGATCCGACATTTTCATCAGCACCACAATCACATGAAATTGAAAAAGGGATGGAAATTGAGAACCGTGTCGCCAGAAAAACCCCTTACGAATGTTTCCAGCTCTTCTTTGATGATGAAGTTTACAACCTTATTGTAAATTTTACTATAAAATATGCTCACATAATAACTGTCACGATTTTCATTTGAGAAATGCATCGCTGAAAAGGTTTTTGGGAATACTCATTCTTACAGGATATCACACCTTGCCACAAGATATGTACTGGAGCAAGTACCAGGATAAGAACGTGGCATTCATTAGAAACTGCATGAGTAGAAATCAATTTCGGCGTATCAAAAAGTATACTCACGTAAGTGATAATACGGTGGTACAAAAAAATGATAAATTTGCAAAACTTCGCCCCCTTTTCGACTTAATGAATCAAAAATTCCTGCAATTTGATATTTTCGCGTATAATTTATCTATAGACGAAGAAATCGTACCATATTTTGTAAGGCACTCTGCATAAATGTTTCTAAAGGGAAAACCTGTGTGTATTGGGTATAAGTTATGGTGCCTCTGTTCATCTGATGGATACCTATTCCAGTTTATCCCCTACGGTAGTGCTAGCACAACAAAATCAGATTTAGGTTTGGGTGCTGATGTAGTATTAAAATTACTAAGTGTTGTAGAAACTCCCTCTAATCACAGGGTATTTTTTGACAACTTCTTTTCATCTTATAAGCTATTCACAATATTGAAAGAAAAGGGAATTTATGCAACTGACACAGTGCGAGAGAATAGGATTGAAAAGTGTCCACTGGAAACATCTAAAATTATTGCTAAAAAAGATAGAGGGTCGTTCGACTTCGTTTTTGACAAAGAAGCTGAAGTATCTGTAGTTAGATGGAATGATAACTCAGTTGTAACAGTAATCTCCAATAACTGCCCAGTACATCCCGTAGGCTTTGCAAAGAGGTACGATCGCAAACAGAGGAAAGAAGTAAATATCCCCATGCCGAATGTTATCCAAGAATACAATAGATGTATGGGCGGCGTTGACTTACATGACAACGGCATTGCGAATTACAGGATTGCTGTACGAGGTAAGAAATGGTGGTGGCCACTTTTTAAAAACTTAATTGATAGTTCCATTGTAAATGCATGGGAACTTTAATGATTGGGAAATGGAGAAGCTCCATTTCCCAAATCAATTTTCGGTCATATATTGTGGTTTGTCTAATGAAATCGGAAGATGAACAACAAGAAGAATCAAAACAGAATGAAAGTGAAGAAGGTGAAAAGTCAACTGTATCGTTGACAATAAACATGGGCAGACTGTCAAAAATAGTTTACCAGATGAAATTCGAAAAGATAAGATAGGTCATTTATTGATAAAGCATGCAGAAAATGCAAGAAGAACATGCAGGCAGTCTTCCAATCATACTGTTTTTGTTTGTCAAAAATGTCAAGTCCATTTACATTCTAAATGTTTTGAAATTTTTCACAAAAAATACATTTATATATTTCAAATTTTTTATCTCAGTTTCGCCAAAGGTTCAAAAACTAACCATTTTTTTGTTGTGACACCTGTCAGTAACAAAGTGTAAAACAATTTTTTTACGAATTTTGTAAGTTTATTTTACCCTAGTTAATAAAATATATTACATATTGTAGTATGTCTTTGCTAATAACCACTGGGGCTCTAGGCTAACTACAACTAAAGGAAAAGAACTTTTGTCAGTTGTTAAAGAACAAAAGGGTGAAGTATTATCTACTGGTAGACCAACATACTGACCTACCGATAAGAACAAAATTCCAGACCTGATAGATTTGTTTAGTTACAAAAATATCTCAGGTAACTATCTGGATATCAATGACGGCTGGAACATAAACTCTAATCACTCAATCCTAATATTAACTATGAGTGATACAGTGATCAAAAAGAGTTCAATCCAATATTGACTAATAAAAAAACTGACTGGGAGAGCTTCAAAATAAACCTTTAACACAAAATTAATCTTGCTGTGCCATTGAGAAACACAAGGAAACTTCATAATGAATTAGAGGTTTTTATAAAAAATATCCAACAGGTAGCTTGGGAAAATACTCCCACAATAACTTCTAGAACAAAAGGGAACAACTATCCAAAAGAAATCAGAGAACTCATGGTAGAAAAAAGGAAGTTAAGAAAAAAATGACAGTAATACAGAGCTCCATGAGACAAAACTAGTAAGTAATGCTACACAAAAACTAAAAAGGGAGATACAGAATATAAAAAATTTAACAAATAATTCTTTTTAAGTAATTTAACTGCTGACCAGAACACAGATTATTCGTTATGGAAGGAAACAAAAAGAATGAAGGGACCAATTATTCATTCTTCCCCTATCAAGTTGGAAAATGGCAACTGAGTTAGAAGTAACGAACATAAAGCAGAACAATTTGCAGATCATTTAGAAAGCACATTCAAACCCAACTACAATGATGGTAAAGAACTGAGATGGAAAGAAATATTCCAAACCAAAGAAAGAATATCATTCACATCATTTAGAGAAGTATCAACAGAGATAAAAGAGAATATAAATCCTAAGAAAGCTCCAGGATATAATCTCATAACAGGGAAACTATTAAAAAATCTACCAAGAAAAGCCATAGTTAAACTGACACACCTAATAAATGCTGTTTTTTATATTGAGATAGATTGAGATCCAGACTCTGGAAAGTAGCCAAAGTCATTATGATCGCCAAACCACATAAACCTTCCAATGAAGTGACATCCTATTGACCAATATTACTCCTTCCGGTGATGTCAAAACTATTTAAAAAACTTCTATTGAAAAGATTAAACCAATAATAGAAAGAAAAAATGTTATACCAAATCAGCACAGGCATTTGATAAAGTCTGGAATGAGGGTTTAAACTATAAACTAAGAATGTGCATGTCTAAATAGTATTCAGAAATCTTAGAATCATACTTTGCGAATAGATATTTGAGAGTAAAACAAAAAGAAGTATAAACCGACTTAAGGGAGATCAAAGCTGGCGTGCCACAAGGGAGTGTAATAGTTTCAATCCTGTACCTATTGTATACTTATGATATTACAGAGCTAGAACAGGACACTATTGCCACCTTCGCGGATGATACAGTCATACTAGCAGGTTTGTACAATTATAAATTAAATATTACGGATTAGAAAATCTTCCGAAAGTTACAATTCATTACTATTATGTGATATACTTACATTGGTTGCACATATTCTGGTAAAGATGAGCAATCTACTTTAAGACATATCAGAAAATGTAAAGTATTGCCATCTACACTAACTTCAATATCCTCAGGTGATATACCTTCTGTACCCTTTGTTAGAATTTTGAATTCCTCAGAGTAGCGAGAATAGATATTGTCAAGGTGTAATTTTTCGATCTAAAAATCAGATTAAAATGCATATCAATCCTATTCATAAAAAATTGCTTAGAATAACTGTTTATATATTGATAGAAATTATCAGTATAATAGAGGAATATTCCAGCATAAATAAAAAAAATATAAAACTTTTGCATACAGATCAGAAAGCAAAAGATCATAATATAGTCCAGGGTAATAAGGTTTTCGTGGTGATACTCAAAAACCCAGGATACTGAAAGGTTATTTTGATGTATAATACTTATAAAAACATATTCTAACCATTTCCTAAGTGAGATTTAACGACAATTTTTATTTATAAACAAATTAGTGTGAAAAAGTGTACTTTTGGTGTTATTATTGAAAAACATAAGGTTATGCAGGTTTATCAGCATAACCATCTTTTAGAGCATATAAAAAGCTTTAAAATGATGACTTCATCTCTTTTATTGAGAAAATTTGGCCTTTTTTCAATATATATGGTTTCTCCTATGATAATTCTTTGTTTATAGAAGAGGATAGCGGCTATGATTCTGGAGTTATTTAAATCAATTTTGTGACCTGTATGAAGATAGTGTTAACTTAGAGCTGAAATAGAATCAAAATTACAAACAGAAATGGAATGTTGGTAAATCCTTTTTGGATTCTACAATTTGTTTGGCATATATATGATCAGGGGCAGTTTGCAATGGAATTTCTTAAACTCTGTTGTTCATTTGGATTATTGTCTTTGATTGATTAAAGAATTTTGTCGATTTTGTCATTGACACTTTTGATGTAAGGAAGAAAAGCTTTGGCATGTAGAGTGTCTGAGTCTTTGGGTTGAGATTGAGTGGGGGATTGATGTCTGTGAATGCTCCTATTAATGTGATTTTCGTGGTAACTATTTTGGATGAAGAGTTGTATTAAACTAAAGAGCTCAGCAGATCTACTTACATCATCACCAAGGCTTATTGATCTGGAGACAAGTATATTATTGACTGAATTAATTTGTGAAGGTGGATGATGGGAGTTGGCATGTAAGTAGCACTTGGTATGGGTGGGTTTTTTTTGATAAACAGAGTGCTGAAAAGCTTGGGATTGGTTTTTCTTTATGCTAATGTAGAGAAATAGTATTGATGAATCAGTTTCCACCTCTATCATGAACTGGATACTAGGATGTATACCATTCAAATGGATTTGAAAAGACACCACAGCATCTCTGCCGTGGGGCCAAATGACGAATGTATCATCAACAAATTGTAGCCAACATGTGAGCTTGAGCATTGATGAGGAAAGTGCTGGGGTCTGGAAGTATTCCATAGATATTTTCAATTTCTGCAGTTGGTGAGGAGCCAAATGAAGCACTATTTATTTGTCTGTAGAATTGATTTTGGAAGATGAAATAAGAGCTAGACATAGACAAGAGTGAAACGATATTGAAACTTACTAGAATGTCTGAAGGTGAGATAGGGTATAAGAAATATAGATTGTATAGTTTTGGTCACATACTTGATGGTTGAGTAGGGCATTTGTATGCACTGACTATGGGACATAGGGGAATATCAGGTTTGTGAATTTTGGATAGGCTATATATTCAAGATATTCTGGCAGACTTTTCACAAGGAATTAGAGATTATTTTATGTCGACCAGGAGAGAGGTTTCAGGCAACTTAAACCTTAGTGGCAACTAAGTTGCAGGTTGCTCTATTGTGTATTACATGGATGTGAAGTGTGTGTAGGGATACTTTAATAGGGGTTAGATGTATGACTTGGGTGCATTATTAGCTGCTAATTTGACGTCTCACTCTTTGAAAGCACTCTATTGATTATATTAAATGCACAGATATCATTTTTTCCTCTAAATGGTTGTATAGGTATATAAATATATACATTAATATATATTCCAATCTTGGGTATTTACTCTATATAATCTGTCTAATCATTATTTCCTTAATACGTAATAATAGATAACTAGATAATATAAAAAAAAGGATACCTGGTGTTTTTTGTATAAAGTCAAAAACTCATTAAGAATCTGTGCTAGAGCTTTGGGATTTTTTAAATTCCAATTCGTCCAGCTAGGAACAACTTCGGAAAGCGTGTCAACATCTGGATAATTCAAAAACTCTTCATCGTTAAAAATAAAATCTGGAGCGAAGTAGAAATCTTCTGGATCAAATATAACTTCCCATCTTAGTCTTTTTCCTGCATAAGGAACTTTTAAAATAAAATGGTAATTGTTGAAAGCATTTTCTTCAACATTGTTTCTAACTTGATTTATTGTAATATCATTTAAATTTATAGGGAGAAAACCTAAAATCATCAAATTAATAAAAAATAGAATGATTCATTCACTAATAATATTTACCGACTGTACTTCTTAAACATAATTCCTCTATGTTTTTTCTAAGACAAGCGGGAAATATGCTTAAAATATTATCTGTATTGTTCAATATTTCACTCATGTCTAGGCAATACTACAAAAAAACTACATAACAATAAAAAAAATCTGGAATTGTAAAAAAAATCAAAATAGTTGTTGAGATTTTGGCATTGACATTGACAGTTTTCAATCATAGTAAGGTAACTCCCATATAAAGTTTTGGAAGAGAGTTTCTAGCGCCAAATACGGACGGGCCGAAACTAATTTCATTTGGCGGCAAATTCAAAACGTAAATTCAGAATTTTAGGCGGCAAATTCAAAAAATATGCTCTGAATTTTAGGCGCCAAAATTCAAAAAGTATGTTTTTAATGGAAAGTAAATATAGTCATAAAATAAGAAATAAAAACTTATTCTATGCCAGAAAATATATCCTCTCTGTCCAAAAATATAGTATACACCTACACATTTATATATATATATATATATATATATATATATATATATATATATATATATATATATATATATATATATATATATATATATATATATATAATATATATATAAATGTATAACATAATATCTGATACAGAGAGAGTATATATTATGGTACAAGAAAGTTTTTATTTAATATTTTATGATTATATCTGTTTTCCATTACATTAACAAACCAAAGTCCCAAAAATAACAAAATAAAACACAAACATCCTGACACTTGTTTATTTGTATAATTTTCTTTGGTAAAGTATTGGCAACATATCCTCCTCCTCCTCCTTACTTAAGCCCTTGTTAAGGTGTGGGTGGAGACACTCTAAATATTGTTAACTTGCTGTCTCCATTGGCTGCAATTCTGTACCAGATGAACAACTTCGTGAAGGGATTTTTCCACCAATCTTCATTTAATCTTCCCATCATGTTGTGAGATCGTCATTTTGATATACAAATATAGATACCTCTATATTTATTAGCAATGGTTTGTAGTAAGTTCCATACCTTCTAAAATACTTTTCCTTAAAGTACCATATGTAGATAATAAAGTGTAAACCCTAGCATGTCTGCGATCTTGCTCTTCACAATGATCACAAATTGGCATGTGACTCAATGTAACTGTTACTCAGAAGTAGAAGATCCATGAAAATCTAAAATAATGAAATATTATTAAAATTAAGAATGTATTGACTTTTTTTTATAAAATAAGGCCAATTTTAGGAATGCAATTAAGAGTCATAAGAGTTTTTTTTATAAAATAAGGCAATGTTTAGGAATGCAGTGATAAGAGTTAAGAGTTTTAATGAGTTTAAAATGTATACAGTATATAAATATAAGATTAATGTTAGTTAAGATTGAAAGGTAAATTAACTACAAAAACAAAATAGTATCAAGTTTGTATTTACGAAAATTTGGTATAATTAGGTGCTGTTCTTACCTGGTGCTTGTAAAAATAAACTCCTAATCCTCAGAATGTTTAATAGCCGTTTGTCCAATAACTTTCACCCATCCACAAAAAATATTCTTTGGAAATACTATACCATTTTGGTAATGTACCTTCTTCTTTAGCAGGTCTATTAGATATATAAAATTTGATGTATACTGTTTTTATCGTCTATTTCTAAAATTTGGGATACGACTATTGTAAACAGGGCAGACCTATAGAACAAGTGCCGAGGAACTGACAGAAGATTAGTGACAGATCTGTATTTGGCAGTGTTGCCATATCACAAATAAATCCTTGAAAGAGCATGCGATATAATATTAATTAATGTTCAACGTTCTTTTTAAGTTTTTGAAAGAAGTTTAATTAATTTAAATTTAATTTATTATAATTTAAATTAACTTTAATTTTTTAAGCTTTTAAATTCTTAAGTTATTAAATTTAATTAAACATCTTTACCGATATATTTTTACTTTGTTATTCACATTTTAAGGATTAAATTGTCAATAATGATAATTTAATCTCTGCAACGTAAATTTGAAAAAATATCGATCTGAACAAGCTCCAGTAACTAGCTAATACATTAACAAAACGATATTCAGGTACCATTTCACTCCAAAATTATAAGAAAATAGTCATAAAAATCATAAAATTGAAATCTGCTAAACATCTGTTGCAATCTGGCAACTAAGGTTTTCAAAATTTTGACAGTATTGCCAAGTTTATTTACTAATCTACCAAAGGCCAATTATAATTTTTTTTGTAATAACTAACTGCAACTAATATCAAAAGAAACAAATATTCATTCGTTCGTGATTCATATAAATTCAAAAAATTGTAAAAAATACCCGATTTCATAAAATAATATAATAAAAATGTACTGTTTCAAAGCATATTTGAGGCATAAAACATACACATAATAATAACATGGCAATACCGCAGACACAAATTTGACATGACGTTTATGTCAAATTCTCGGCACTTATTCTATAGATTTGCCGTAAACAGTGTGGTGTAGAATTGTTTATTTTCCTCATAATAAATGTCAACCATTATGAAAACAAGTCCATTTCATTTTTTGGGTTTGGAAAACGAAATCGACTGTTTGTGTAGTCTGTGCAACCATGAACATAACATTCTTTTACCTTTTATTCTATTTTGTTCCATTTCAATGATGGTAAAACACAATTTTTACAATTAAGATGATAATAACCAAAACCAAACACAAATCTGAATTTGCAATATGGCGTCCCAATTTAAATTAAATTTCGCCACAGCACATGCGTCTCCCTCCCACCTAACGTGACTAGTAGCGCCGCCGCCATTAAGAACGGATGGGCCCATGCAAAACACTATCCCCTCCCGTCCTATTCTACTTACATTACTATTGGGGTATGTATTGTGTTTCCAATAGAAAACAGGGTTAGGTGTTGATCATTTCAATTTGGTATAATAGCCACTGCAACCTTTCCAAAATCCTGAGGATTTATTTATAATCATTTTAAAGTATATTATATTGTTGTCTATTCGCTTAGCTAGGGCATATTTTGACAGACTCATTGTAGGAAACCTACAACACAACAATTCCTACTTCTCAGTATAAATAGCTCAAGTATACTACTATTGCAGACCTCTTTCTTTGAAAAAAAGAAGAATTATTCTAAATACTGGAAGTGTATACTAAACCCATCAAATTTTCCCTGTATATTTCAAATATAATATTTGAATTGTTACAATTTAAAATATTGTAGTAAATTTTTGTATTATTCGCGTTGTTTATTTAATTTAATATTGTTTTATTATCTTTGTGTAATTCTTTTGTTAGTTCTATTCAGTTAATTAGTTAGTTATATTTTAAATTTTATTATTTAGGGCCTGCGTAGCGCAAGCGGTAGTGTGCTTGCCTCGCATGCCGGTGGTCGTGAGTTCGAATCCTACCGCCGGCAAGAACAACTAGGCATTTTTAAAATGTCTATAGGCCCCAGGTCGACTCAGCCTGAATAAAATGAGTACCTTGGGTAAAACCAGGGGTAATAATAGGCGGTTGAAGCGTAGCACTGGCCATGTTACCTTCCTTGTATACCGTAGGCCCTAGATATAGCAGACTACCCTGCTATACTCCCAAAGCCGCGTGCGGTATAAAACGGGAGACTATTATTATTATTATTATGGATAGTCAAAGTTTTCCATTTGTTCCATCAGCTAATGCGTTGGTAAGTTTTTCTTAATAAATATGATAAAATGTTTTTTAAAAAGTTTTTTTTAAAGTTAATAGTTTTAGATTAGTAAGGATGCTGTTCCTAGATTACAAGGTAATAAAACTGCACAACGGTTTATTCAAAATGCCTACCATTTTTTTTTACCGAATGAAAACCCTGTTGAGGTAAGTTGATCGTTAAAATGTATTTATCGAATTATGTAAATGTTGTAAATACATAAGCTACTTGCTGTGTCTTATTCTTATTTAACCTCACTTTAACTTCTTAATTTTGTAGAATTTATTCCCACTTTTTTATTTTGTACAATAAATAATTTTATTATTTGTTATCAATACATTATACGGTGTAAATAAATAAATATTGATTGTCGGCAAAGTTCTATTTTATTTACTTTTGTTTACATTAATATTGACTAAGAGCACGTATGCTTGGTTGTATAGTATTTTCCAGCCACTTCGAGTCTGTCAAAAAGTTACTAACTTCGAAAAAAAAAATTACTAAAATCACTAGACAGTTCGGACTGGGAATAGCGAACCGGGTATAGTTAATACTAAAGTATATATTGTTACTGTAAAGCATACATATTTGAGAATGGCATAGTTGGCAATGTTCTAACCATTTGTTCAAAGTTGTACTGGAGCCAATTGGCTTATTATACATTTTCCGTTCATTCAAGATACCCATTCCAGAATTCTGAAATTCTGTACTAGCTTGTTTATGGTCTATGTAGTGGATTTATATATATTTTTTAAGGATCTAAAATCTTCTAAAGACGTGTGTTGGATCCAGACTAAAAAAATACGTCTGAGTACATTTTCCCTCGTGGAATGTGCTGCCCTCAGGAGCTTACATGCTCTGAGCTTTCTCTAGAATTCTTCTGTATTTTTGTTTAAGCATTGCTTACTGCCATACTAGAGCTCCTATGTTTGGCATGATCTTTAGATATTGTGTCATCTTAAGTTATATTATACTCCTATCTATGAAATAATCCTTTAGCAAGTTCTGCAGGTATGGGGGTATTTCCAATTTTTCTAATAGTATGATGATTTTCCCCCAGCTCGCGTTGTTGAATGCATTCTTGCTGTCCAGGAAGAGTGCTATCATCCACCTACTCCTGCATGCTTCTTTCCCCCTTCCCTTAGTAACCTGTTTATGACATCTATGGCAGAACTACCTTTTTTGAACGCATACTGGCGATTCGATAGGCCTCCCTTTTCTTCGATTTTGTTTTAGAGTCTTGACTTAATAAACACTTTGACTAGTTTTCCTAGTGTTTTAGCAGGCATATTGGCCTAAAAGCACCCTGTTGTTCCATTTCTTTCCCAGGTTTAGGGGTGAGGATAAGGTTTGCCGCTTTCCACGTCGTGGGGAATTTCTGTCTTCTAAGGAGGTCGTCCATAATGATTTTCACCAATTCAGCCTCAATAATGGTTTTTATTATTTCCGGCGCAATTCTGTCAGGTCCGGGTGCCATCCCTGTCTTTAGTGCCTTTCCTGCTTC